TGAGCATATAAATTACCTCTAAAAAAGAAAATGCCTTCTACCTAAAGCTTTTTGATTCCCTTTATTTTTTTTTATTTCAGAGCTTGATGGCTATTTTTCTCTCTAGTCCAGTGATTTTGTTATTAAAGCATTCTTGTAGAGGTAATTTAGCACACATGCCCCTAGTTATTAACCAAGTTTTACTACATTCAAATACCAAATCACTTTGTAAATGATACTTTCTTTTTTCCACCAGCAAAATCACTTGGGTTATGAAGGGGCCAAGCAGGATTTTAGTTGTCCTGAATGACATTTACAAATTCTGCATAGGTAGAGAAAATGACAGTGGATATTTTTAAACAAATTTCATAAGTATAGTAAGGATGCCATTCTGTATGTATATCCTCATAAATCAAAACACAAAAACCATGTTCAGAATGATTTATATTAAAAATTAATATGATGTTAATACAATGAAGTCAACCCTTGACCTAGAAGAAAGGTTATGAGGGTGAGGCAGAGAGAAAATACACCAAAGGCCTTGGGTCACTCCCACAACTCAAAAGTGTTTGAAATACATTCAATGAAGAAAATATTTTCTTTTGATTTCTGTTTTGCACCATGTCTGGTGATGCTCAGTGGTTAATCCTGGCTCTGAGCACAGAAACTACTTGGAGTGGTGCTTAGGGGACCATATGGGATGCCATGCATGGAACCTGAGTTGGCCATGTGCAAGACTAATGTCCTAACCACAGTACTATGTTTCTATCCCTCAATAGCTTTTCTTTTAAATATACAATGGAATACTATTTCTATTTAAATAATCAAATCATGCAACATGGATAGAACTAGAGGTTATCATGCATAGTGAGGTCAATCAAAGAAAGAGAGACAAATACAGAATCATTTCTCTCATATGTGCAATGTAAAGACACATAATAATTATTATTATATTAATAATTTGACAATAGCAACATAATTTCTCTACAGAATTGAGTCTGCTTAGGGGGTACAATGGGGGTACTGTGGGGGGGCAGGATGGGAAACTTGAGACAGTGGTGAAACATTATACTCTGGTGATGGGTCTAGTGGTGAACAGTGTATGCCTGAAACCTTATTTTTAACAGTTTTGTCAATCATGGTATCTAAATTAAAATAGTTATGATTTTGAAATTATATAGCTAATATAGAATTTTTATTTGTACACTGGATAAGCTGTGTGTTTTTAAAGCAGAGATGTCTTCACATTAAACCATGGAAAACATAAGAATATAAGAATTAGAAGGTGTATCAGATACCATTTAACCCCATCTTCTCAATTGACTTTTCTTTCTGAGACTAGGAGAATTTTCTGCCATTTACCCGAGGTCTTAAACATGCCAGATAATACCAAGGCTGAGAAAGAAAGAGCCTACACAGTTCACAGGATTAAAAAAAATCTTAATTAGAAGAAAAATAGATACAACGCAATACCATGTAGAAAGTGAGATAACTTAACTTGGTCTGCAGCTAAAGCAAGACCACAGAAGGTTTTCTGTTCTTAGTTGAATTTTGGGTAAAAGGTGATCACAGTCATACATTTTATAATACGTTATAAGATGTTCATTTTAGGATAGAGTTTGTAGAACTCAAAGTTCTAATCTCTTTCTTTCTCTCTTCTTCTCAGATCTAAGATCATTCAGACTTTTAACCCTTGCCCTCACTCTTCCTCTCAGGAAAAGAGACTCATATGAATGAGTCAAACCAAATTAGCCAAAGCAGCTATTTAGTTAACAGAATTATCAGTACATTTCACTTGAATTCTAATTTCTTCAGGTTTTACAATTAGGGCATTACTTAGTATCACTGTTTTCTTTGAGATCAGTTAATTTCCTCTCTTTTATTACATATATTCTCTTACAATTTTTTAAAGTATGATAGTTTTGTACTCCTGCAGATTGAAGTAAACTTGAGGCGGGGGAAGAAAGAGCAGAGGTTTGTGTTTTACCCTTTATGATAAGTTGAGTTTGTTTTATGTATTATACACCAAATTTAGAAAGATAGTACTTCCCAAAAGACTCACAACTTGAATAAGTTCTGAAAAGAATTGGTACAAATCTTTAAGGAAAATCATATTTATTTTTCAACCCTGTGAGGTTGATTGTTGATTTCATTCTAGGAGTATATTATAGAGTAGGGTAATACATTAAACAGAAGAATGTATGAAAATCACATCTTGATTATTTTTAATTATGTTTAAAGCATGTAATTAGGAACGTAGGAATATGAACGATCTTATCTCCTTCCTCCCCCAATGTTATATTACTTAGCAGAAACAATAATTAGGGTTTTCATCATTGCTTGTTTAGTGTCCATTTCTGATTGATTTACTGTAGGAAATGAAGACTCATGTAAAGACACAGGAAATAACAATTCACTGTGCAGTTTTGTATCCCAGGCCAAGTATCTTGGAGGATCTGGTAAGAGTTGAGTGTCTGGTTAGAGGTCTCAGGGCATTACCATAAAAGCTATTTGGCACCCGGGGGTCATAGAACAAAGTGTCAGACCAGTTCCCAGTGCTAGGTCCCTGTGGCGCTTTTCTTAAATAATCAGTCCCATTCAGGCACTGATTTTAAGGTCCTTGATCGGCTTTCTATTTCACAAGCAGTCATTTTTTAAGGCCAAATGGCCCTAGAAGCAGACTGTTTTTGAAGTAAGGTTATGAAAAGAACTTGGTACATCCCAAAGCTGGCCTGATTCTTTCTCTCTCTCTCTCTTTTTTTTCCTCAAAGGTCAGCTGCAAGTTCAACACTGACAGTTCTGTACTTGGGCCTTTGGGTAAAGGCAGACCACATTCACTCCAGCCCCACACATCAGCTTGAGAAGGGTGAAGAGTTCATATACCAGTAAGGATCAATTTTAGGTTGGCTCCCTGAATTTGAGAACAGGGATTCAGACAAAAATTCCCTTTGTCCTTCTTTGATCCTTCAGCTTCAGATATTGATACCTTGAAATAATTTTCTTCTTTAAACTTTTCAAGAGCTAGGGAAACCTGGTACATGAAGATGGCCAAGGAAACGCTGCTCCTATTTATGTTTCCAAATGTTTTTCCCCCTAAAGTGCATTTTCAATTTCCCAACTAGAAAGCATGCTTCACCATCTTACTCTTCATATGCCCCTAATGGATTCCAAGAGGTCACAGCAGGAGAGTACACGTTTGCAGATTAGAAAAGCTTGCTCTTTAAAAAGCTGTTTTTAGCTGGAAGGCAGAGTGTAATGTAGACCTCCAAAGGCTGGCAGGTCTCTCTAACAGAGGAGCTCTAAATGGAAGGCTTTAGGTTCTAGGAGACTCAGTGGGGGTCTTCCTTCATTTGCTCCAGGGATCTGGTGGTTCTGCCTATTATTGTATCCAGCTGTGTTGGGGGAGGGGTGAGGAAATTGGGGGAACTTAAACTGTGACTGCCTGGGATCTCTTCCTTAGACTATACATTGATTCTGTCTTAAACAGACAGACCTGAGAGGAACCCTTAGATCCTTAGTGTCCACCAGTCATGCTCCAAGGAAAAAGTCTCATTAAAAACCACTCTTCTCTTTGGATGCTACCAACTCAGGCTTCTAAGATAAATTTCAATCCCTCTCTTAACAGATTAATACCAAATTGTCATTCTGCTGTGCACATCATTTAGGGTCAGACTCTGGCAAAGGGTAGGTCTGGGGTGAAAGGGGAGGCAAGGAGGCAGTAAAATGACCTCCGCCAGGCTGAATGTGGGTATTGGGGTTTAGGGGAAGGGTGGGGTCCACGCAGACAAGCCAGTACTAGTCAGGCCTGCTCTGGTATCTTCATCCACCAGGGAGAAATGAACCTGAGAGTTGTGTGCGCGGGAAGAGAGAATGAAAGAATGGGAAAGGGGGAAAAGGGGGGAAAGGCCACGTTTGAGAGTTAAGTCAGGTGGTGGTGAGACACAGATGCACAGTGTTGGAGAGTGAGAAATTTTGAAAGAGCAACACAAAGAAAAGCAGAAAAACGCCGAGGTAGAGACGGTGAGAGCAAGGAAAAAGGAGAGAAAGACACACACACACACACACACACACACACACACACACACACACACACACAGCAGCAGCAGCAGCAGCAGCAGCAGCAGCAGCAGCAGCAGCAGCAGCAGCAGCAGCAGCAAAGAGATCTGCCAAAGAGAGGAGCGAAAGTCAGAGCAAAGAGACAGACGGGGAAACTCTGTTGAGTAGGAGATGTCAGGAGCGAAGAAGGTGTCAGGCTGGAGACATCAACCCCTCGCGTCCCCGCTCCAGCCCCCCCTGCCCAGACTCTGCTCGCTCGGCCCAGCCCGCGGCCGCGAGTGAAACGCACAAGGTCGCCCAGTCCTCTCGGGGTGGCACGCTGAATGGCTGGAGGTCCGCAGCGTCCCCGTTGCCCGCCGCTCAGCCACAGGTCTCCGGCGGCGCCCGGCGGCGGCGGCGCCCAGGGCGGACCCAGGGGTCCAGCACCCTCCGGCGCCCATCCCCACTCGGTTCCCGTCACTCCGCTGGCGGCCGCAGCGCTCCTTGCACCCTCTGGGGAGGCGGAACGGTGGCCAGCGGAGACGCCGAAGGAGCCACTTGTCCCTGCGGGCCGAGCCCGCCGAGAGACTGGGCGCGGGATCTAGGGACACGGAGTCCGTGGCCCACGTGCCCGCAGAAGCACCCCGCGAGTGCGGAGAGAGGAGTCTAGCCCGGGGCCGCGCGTTCCCGCGCTCCGCAGCGTCCCCCGGCGGCCGGGCAGGACCACGGACAGCGACCGCGCTTCGGGCTCGCGCGCGGCCAGAGGGGCAGCAGCTCCGCGCGCCCGGAACGTCTCACTGCCCCCACTCCGAAACTCCGACTTGCAGCTGCCGCTTCGTTTCTTTTATTCTTTCATTGATCCCCCTCCCCATCATCGCCCACCCGACAAAAGACCAGTGTTTGAGCTCTCAAGTTCTAGTCCTGAGGACTTGCCCGGTCTCCTTAAAGTCATTTCTACAATCGTCCGGCCGGCGGTCTCGGGAAGCCCGGGAGACCCGGACTGCTCGTTCTCAGTGCTCGTGCGGGCAGTCCCAGGTGTGTCCGGCTCAGCAGCCCGGCGCAGTCGCCTCGCTCCCTCCCTCCCTGGCTTTCTTCCTCTCTGGCCGCTTCCACGTCCCCACGTCCTCCTCCCCACTCCCTCTCTTGCCACTTAAGTTTCCTGCGCCGGGAATCCAACTGCGCCCAAGCCTAGGCTCCCGCTGAACCAATTCCGAGTGCGACCCCGGCACTGGATCGCCGACTTCGCCGGCACCGGACGAGGCAGCTGGACCGGTCCGCGTCCAAGCATGGAGACGAAGCGTCAGGGAGGGCATGTCCGGAGCGCCGGAGACGCCAGGCCCGAATAGCTCCTTCATGGAGCCTGCCCAGAGCGGTTCCTGCCCTCCGGCTTCTTCCCCGCTTCCGTGCGGTACGTACCCATCGCTTCCACTGTCCCAAAGGGGGGCTACCTAGGGGCACAGGGGATGGGGCGGGGGGGGGGGATGGTGGTGGTGGCAGGGAAGGGAAACGGGGACCGCCGCTGTTTGGGGAAGTGAGTGTGCCTGACTGGTGACCCGCAGACCCCGACAGGCTTCCACTCCAGAAGTTAGCGACTGACTCTGACCCCGAGCCTGAAGGGGGCGGGGGGGGGGTGAGGGAGGGAGAGAGAAGGGGGAAGTGTCAGAGATGTGAATGTGTATGTGTGTATAGCGTTGTGTGTGCAGGGGGTTCGAACGGGTAAACTGAGCCCATATGCAAATTGTATTGGCTCCCCACTCCCCCTCGCCCCAACGTCTGGCGATCCCCAGCACCTAAACCTGGTCAGCTCTACCTACCCTTCCTCTTCCCGTGCCCCTCTCGCTCACTCGCGCTCGCTCGCGCTCCCTCTTTCTCTCCCCCTACCTCTCTCTACTGGTGTGTACGTGTGCGAGTACTGCCACGGCTGGCGGAGAACCAGCCGCCTCCTTGAGTCCGAGCTGCCCGGCCAGCAAGCCCTAGGACAGGTCTAGCTGGCAGAGACGCCTGGGCTCCGAACCCTCCTGCACGCGGCTGGCTTGCTCTGCCACCTCTGTCTCTGCTGCCCAGGAACTCGCACGCGAAGAGCCAGGAGCGTGGGGCGTCAGGAGCCCCCTTTTTTACTCTCGCTTGATCGGGCTCCAGGAGCTGAACTGATTCGCTTTTCAATTTTTCAACGTCTCCCACCCTCCCCCTCCTTTTTTTTTTGTCCACCCTTCCCCTCCACGAACCCTTTTTCTCTGCTGGGTCGCCAAGCCTAACCTTGCCCGCGTGGTCATGGGCTGTCTAATTTCATTTGTATCTAGGCTGCTGAGAGCGCTCCTTGCTCTGTAAAGTGGATGTCAGGTGGATCTATGTTTTTGAAGGAACAAAGACTCAGTGAAGGCACCGCCGAGGAAGTTTGAGACGCGGGAGGATGCAGGCTGCGTGCTGGTACGTGCTTCTCCTCCTACAGCCCACCGTCTACTTGGTAAGTGACTGCCGCTGACCCGGGCATCCGGGCCATCCCACCCGGGCCAGACAGGCGAAGCAACTGGGGGCGCACGGGAGGAGGGGAAACCCCGAGTTCAGCGCCTGCATCTTTCCTAGCGACGGTGTGGCAACAACTTTAACAAGCTGGTCTCTGGACACAGCTGGATTTTTCAGGCTTCCCAAACCCGATTTTCTACAGTGTCGCTTTATTTGGCGCGTTTCTTTCTGAACGGTGTCTAGGATGCCTTAGAAACCCAGAAACCTATGAGAGGGCAGAGACGGGGTGTTTTATGGGGGAGAAGGCAAAGAGAAGGACAGGAAGACTTGGTGGTACTCTTCCTTCTGTTCACTCATTGAGGTGAAAAGAAGGAAATGGGGAGTAGGGGGTAGAATCTGGCTGCTAAGACAATGACTTTGAAAGTTAACCTACTCTCCTGGGCCCCCAGTTTGAGGATGGTGCACCAAAAAAAGTAAGGGGGAACTTTGTTGTGGGGTTCAGAGAGAAGTTTAACTCTTGGACAGGGGCAGTGGTAGCCTACCCCGGATAAAGTTAGGTCAGAGATGCATTGGCAGACACAGCGGTTCCTCCTCCCTTCCCTTCAGATCTGCCTTTTCTGCTGAATAACGGAACCCCAAATTCTAGTTTCCAGCCTCTTATTAGGGAGTGGTCGACCTTGGCCGTCAAGGAGAGACTGTTCAGCAAAGGAAAAGTCTGAATTCTCTGAGTTCAGTTTCTTGGGGTTTGGGCTTTACTCCCCATTGCTAGTTCAAGAAGGGTACAGATGGGTGATTTATTGGGGTGGTGGTACCTTGGGAGCGGAGATTATGACCAACTAGGATTGACAGTGTGAGGTCTTCTGTCTGACTTCAGGGCAGACAAAATTGTACTCAGACCCCTGGCCTCAGCCCCCTGGCCTCAGATCATCCTGGGCATGCAAGCCAGGCCCAGTGGCTTCCATTTGGGGTTAGCAGTGCTGAGGTAGTTGTGGGGCTGGTACAAAGGTGCAGGGGCGGTTCCTCCCCTCAAGGGCTTCAGTTCCCACAAGCCTGGAAAGAAAATGGTAGTTTTCCTGCAACTGAGAATGTTTCCCAGTAGTTTCCCCTGTTGCCTGTGACTGCAGGATTGTGAACTCTGTGTATGTTAAAGCATGGATATGTAAATGTGTATGCGAATATGTGTTAAGAGTGTGTTTGTTGAACGGGTTTCAGCTGTGTTGCCTGTCATTGCACCTCGATTTCTTGATCATGACAGTCGCGGACACCAGAGGGCGCTGCGCGCCAGTGTCCTAGCCCCTCTGGACACCTTGGGGTAAACAGGTGAAAGCCAGGGCAGCCAATCCAAAAAGAAAAGCCTTTCTGACTCAGTCATCCAAGTCTGTGCCTTCCTGACTTGGAACACAGGCAGAATGCAAAAAGTGTCCTTCCCATTTCTCATCTTCAATCATTCTTGCCTCCACCTTTGTCCACTGACAGTGGAGGGTAGAAAGTTTGTCGAGAGAAAATAAAGAAACTATTTATTAAGTGAAAGCTGAAGGGAATTCAATGGAGGGGGAATGTTAATGATTTTTTTGACCATGGCAGCCCAGCATGTTTCTGTTCTCTGCATACCTTTACTTAGGACCTGAACCTCAAGGCTGTTCTTATGTCCTTGCTCTGTGCTCAACACAAGGCAAAGGCCCATGGTTGTGGTGCAGTTTATTGCTCGGAGCAAGTATTTCAATAGTCTGGAAAATAATCTATCAAATGCAGAAGTGAAATCAATACGTTGTGTTAAATTTTAAATGTGTTTGTTGGCAGTTAAACCGTTTTCCACTCATTACAACAACAGTGCTGGATTTATTCTAATGCGCTGCGTTCTCAACAACAAGCGCATTAATTCTCCTTTAATTGTAAACTGGGAGCATTTGAAAACCATTCAGTGTGCAAATTATGCTGATTCAATTACCGTTTAGTTACAGACTTCATTACCTGAATGCCTTTTGGCAATACAGAGAAAAGAGACAATTTTTCCAATTTCACTCAAAACAATACGAATTGTGAACAATAAAATAGAGAAGGCGATTTAGAAGTGCATTCTTTTCTCTTCTATCTAAAGTTGTTTTGTGTGTCGGGGATTGAATCACACAAAACAAAAGAATGGTGGCTGTGGCCCAAGGCTGTATTTGCAGGGATTGTAATCCTATGGTTATTTGCTAGTTGAATTCAGAACTGTTTTCTAGAAGGATCAAGAAGCTGACTTTTTTTTCATAAAAATAAATATATATGCAAAAGGTTGAATTGAGCAGTCAGGACAGGTTGGTATAAGACAAGTAAAGAAGTAGAGAATCATGTTTAAAACTTTAGGGCAATGAGACAAACCAAGAAGTGGACAAAGCTTCTTTCTCTATCTCTTTTGTCAAACACATGACACAGTAACAACTGTCATTTTTTTGTAACTGCACCCTGAAACATCCCAGGCCATTGCAAGAAACTGCTTTAGATACCTGCAGCTTGGGAGGGAGTGCTATAGATTGTATTTCAAGAAGGCAAGAACAGAAAAAATATTATTTTATTTCATTTTAAGCCAGAAAGGAATTTCATGAGTAAATTTCATGGATCTTTATGAGCCTTATAACTGATTACAGAGTGCAATTTTAAAGGACCTGGAATCTCAGTGAAGTTTTGTAAGGGTTAATTGCCATATTATGTCTATGGAGCAATTTGTTCATATGTTTTTCATATAAAACAAAATAGCATGTTTTTCTGCTTATAGAGAGATCTGTGAATATTTCCCAATTAGTGGATGGTTCTTTTTTTCTTTTAAAGAAAATAGCTCTGTGTCCAGCAGATATTTCAGCCACTGTTTCCTATATGTGTTCAACATATGTTTCTTGGACTTGTGCACTTTGAATGCTTGTTCTAGGGATTTGTGACCTATTTACATTTATCAAGTAAAGTTCTGTCCTATTTCAAGTTAGAATTTTATGTCACTAATGCACTGGGAAGTTAATTAGATATGTTACCTTCTGAAACATCAGAAGGTATGTTTAAAGAACCAACACAGGTCTAACTACAGTCATAAATACAGGGGAGTGGAAGTTACTTTTGTATTTTTAAAGAACAAAAAAAGAATTTCTTTTACTGAATATTGAGTATTGCAGATTTAAAAGTCTACATTTTACAGGAAAGAAATTTATGACATATAATACTTGTTTAAATAAAAATTCTGAGATCTTAACTCTCAAGTCAGTTCTTAACTGATTGCATGATATTTTCCATATGATATAGTGATGTAACAGATGATTACATTTTAACTGAATTAAAGCAGAGACTAGTTAAACTAGGGAAATGTGGTTTCTGGCTCTTAACTATGGAGGCCTTACATTGAATTATTCTCTATGGATATAGTTGAAGAGTAGGCCAGGACACATATCTCTTAGCAGAGGCGCCTGGTTGAAGGTTCACCTGTGAACATTTTCAGAATCAAAAATTGAGTCTGATAAATAGTTCCTGGGCCTGTCAACAACAACAACAACAACAAAGTAAAAAATGAATCCAGAGAATCTGACAACTGCTTAAATGATGTTTTGGTGGTCAGTTACATCTACTAAACTATTCTATGGAGAAAAGCTTCACTCTTCACTACTTCTCTATGGCACTGCCCTCTCCTCCCAACTGTAAGTCCTACTAGTTCTATTGTATATTATAATTAGTAAATCTCAAAAAATTTCAAAATCAACATTAATTGGCAATAATTGAAAACTCTGTCTAAACATTATGCTTCTAAACATCTTGAGTCATGTCTTGTCTCAAAGTAAATGCATTCTTAGAATGTAAATTAGGCTCCAATTGTTTAACAGAGATTGAGAGTGATTAATAGATCTATGGAAACACTACCTTTGCACTATTAGAGACCAGGTTTGGTGGATTCCACTCATGAAAGTAGCTGTTAAGAAATCTGGCAGGCTAGGAAAAAGCAGCAGGAGATCACTAATGCATATTCTTTGGACCAGTCATGTGTACTTGCCATGCTTTAAAAATTAAGCCAGCTGCCCACAGAAAATATTAATCAATGTGAGCTTATTTCTGAAAAGAATGGCACATTGATGACCTAATTGTAGTTATTCAGAGTTAGCTATTACCACCAGTTCTTGTAAGGCAGTGCAATAATTTCCATGCTGCATTTTCTGAAGCTTCTACTCCAGACTAGCCTTTCTGATATAAAATTAAAGGTACATTTTGGAAGCACCTATACTTCAGCAGTACAAGAAAGAACTGCTTGTCCCAAGGGCACTTTCCTGAACTGTTCAACTCTCCATTGAACAGGAAAAGAGCATAGGGTATGTGTAGTTTCTTGGGTTGGTGGCCCTTCCATTCCACTTGCACAGGATTATTGACTATGGTCTCAGGCCTTCTAGTGAAAGCTTTAGGGAAACTGTCTGCAGAATTGCTTCAACTTTCTCAGCAATATTTTCACAGAAGGCCATTAAGTTTGTGGCTCCTCTTTGTGTGAAGTGGATTTCTATTTGGCTTTGAATTGTTGACCATGATTTCTTCCTTAATGAAAGTGTTGTTTGGGTGAAAAATATATCAGGTGGCAAGGAAATTGGTTGACTTTCTCGGGGTGGGGGAAGTAGGTGCTCAACGTCCCACTTTTCTATCTGAGGGGAGATTTTCTGCAGACTACAGAAATGGTCAGCATTGTCCGAGTAATAACCAGCATCAACAATATTTTCAAAAGGGCATTTGAGTGATGAAAGCATTTGGATATTGCCTTTTCAAATAAGCAATTTTCTGTCTTGGGCTTATAGAGGGTGAGGGTGAAGGGGCCCGCGCATTGGCAAAAGGCTGGCTGGCTGCCTTCCCGGTTTCACTCAGTACTGAAGTATTGTACTGCTGTCAGCATCACTTTGGAATATTGGTGTCTGAAGAACCCTCAGTGGTTATGACTGGCACGGTGTAGATAATAAGGGCCAAAAAGGGCATCCGAGTTAAGAGACATAAGCCTCTTCTCACATT